CTTTCACATTGATAGCTACTTGCCTGTCCCAAACCTAGTCAACTGTGATATCAGCTCTTTCAGGGCAATAGGATGAGCTGATTGGTCCCTGGAAGTATCCTTAAGTCAGGTCATGATGTAAGTTAACAATGTATTGAGACAGAACAGTGGGCATGATGTGAAAAGCTGATGATGTGGCAATAGTAATCAATATGTAAAGTCATGTGAATCCTTTAGCCAGTTCCCCATAAACCTACAAGTAGGGTTTGAGATAGGACAGTAGCTATCAATATGAAGGCATAGAATAGCCTTTCTTGATGTGAAAGACAATTTGTACATGATGTCAAAAGTAAATGCTGCAGCAATGGCAATATGTAAAATCATGTCAATCCTTTAACCTCATCCCCATAACCTATACAGAGTCAAGGATACTATAAACTATATGTCAACTACAAACTTTTCTAATGAAAAAGCGGACACTACAAACTTTTGTAGTCTGAAAAGCGGACACTACAAACTTTTCTAATGAAAAGGCACACACTACAAACTTTTGTAGTCTAAAAAAGCGGACACTATAAACTTTTCTAATGAAAAAGCGGACACTACAAAATCTTTTAATGTAACCCTAATTTTGTAGTCTAAGTCCAAGCTTTTGTAGTCTATCAGTAAACTTTGTAGCCTATGTCCAACTTTTTTGTAGTCTATCAGTAAACTTGGTAGTCTATATCTGACTCTTGTAGTCTGTCAGTGCTGATTGCTCTTTTAGGGAATGCACCTTCCTTTTTTGGTCAATTTTCCCACGATATGATATTTGTTGCCCTTTCATCTAGCTTTCTAAATGTGTTGGAATCATGTTATTTGGTTTTGTTTTCATGAAGAAAAATGCAAAAAACCAACAAAAAAAACGACGCTTTTGGAATTCCTTTAGCTCATACCTCCACAACAGGAGCACTTCAGAACATAATTCAACCAGATTCGGGAAGCTACAGTGCAGGGGTACAACTTTCGCTTTTTGACTATTTTTGGTAATTGGTCATGTGACCACCCTCCCAACAACCCATGTGATACATATCATCATTATTATATAGTTTTCGGTAATGAAAGTGCCAAAGGGCCTAATGAAATATCCTAATGAAAAATCTAAGAAATAGTAATGAAAGTGCCAGGGAGCCTAAT